GTCTTGTTAAGTTGCCCAGGCTGGCCCCAACCACATGAGCCTCCTGTCTCAGCTTCAGAGTTGCTGGGATTATAGGTGTGCACCCGTGCCTGGGACACATGTTTTCTTAAACACGCGTATCACAGCCTTCTTGCACTTAGGAATACTAGACTACACTCTGGCACTCTGTTGGGGAGCCACTTTGAACAGCAAAATTACCAGAAAAGCACAAAATGGTGAAAATCATGGACTAAATAGATCACCAAAAAGTTGCTTCTGAACAGCACGCAAGCTGGAATGAGAAGGCCGAGTGTCACCTTGTTTGACCTTAGGCTGGGAATATTAAACACTTTGGGTGACTCAGAGTTCTCACCACCCTGCACATGATGGCAGATGACCATGAACACACTATGCGCATGGATTTCAAAGTTACAAATAAAATCCAGTGAATAGGAAGCAAATTTGCAAATACACAATCTGCAAATAACGAGAACTGACTATAACCATGACTGCTCAAAAGAAAGCTGGCAGGGAAAGGAATAGGAATTGAAAGAATAGTGTGCGGGTGAGAGCTGTTTTAGGCAGAATAGCAGGCCCTTTCTGAGGATGTGAGGTTTCCCAAACAACTGGATAGAATAAGACAAGGAGACTCATGGCTTCCTGGTGAGTGTATCCAAAGGGCACGGAAACCAGAGTGGACAAGGGAGGAGTGGACAAGGGAGAGGTGGTGAGGTCAGGGGTTCATCTAGGTCTTTGCTAAGGTCTCTACTTGTCTCCTTATGGTTTCCAGTCACACCCCTGCCCCCTGCAGGGCCAAGACTACAAGCAGTAGTTGAAGAGATGTGAACTAAAAACATTCCAAAAATTGATGAAAGACATTAAACCACAAATCCAAGATCTTTGACTCTCACACAGGATGAACATAAATGAAACCTACCTAGGTACACGGTAGTAAAAGCACTGCTGAAAAACAAAGAGAAAAATCTTTTAAATACCAGAGGAGAAAAAGATGATTATTTTCAAAGCAACAAATATAAGATTTTGATTGAGTTTTAAATAGAATAACCAAAGCTAAAAACGATGGAATGATGTCATCGAGGCACTAAAAGAAGATAAGTGCCAACCTAGAATTCTATGCCACAGTAATGATATTCTTCAAAGATGGAGGCAGAGTAAATATTTTTCAGGTGAAAGCTGAGAAAAGTCACCACGACAGAGCACATGCGAGGTAATACTAAAGAGGATTCTCCAGGCAACAGAAAAAATGATCCCAAATGGAAGCAAAGTAACGCAAGAATGAAAATCACCAGAAGAGCAAAGAAGTAGATAAAGGGAGTGACTTTTTTTTAATGACTTCTTTTTGTAGCTTTATTTTTTATGTGGTGCTGAGGATTGAACCCAGGGCCTCACACATGCTAGGCAAGCGCTCCACCACTAAGCCACAGCCCCTGCCCAAAATGGAATGTTTTAAAAACAATTTCTTGTCAGGTGTGGTGTTGCATGCCTGTAATCCCAGCACCTAAGGAGGCTGAGGCAGGAGGATCTTGAGTTCAAAGCCAGCCTCAGCAAATTAGCAAGGCCCCAAGCAACTCAGTGAGATCCTGTCTCTAAGTAAAATACACACACACACACACAAAAAAGGGGGGCAGGGGCTGGGAACGTGGCTTTGTGGTTAAGTACCCCTGAGTTCAATCCCTGGTACAAAAAAAAAATTTTGTAGAATTTAAAACATGTAAAATAAAATTAGAGCACCACACAGAAGGGGAAAAGAGTTGTAAAATTTCTGGGAAAAGGTACAAGTGCAAGTTTATATTATATTTTAATGAGTTGGGATGAGTGCTGTAATTTCTAGAGTAAATAATAAGATAATGCATATCTGATAAGCTAAAACAGGAGGAAATGGATAATAATAACAAATACTTTTCATAGCTAAAGAAAAGGGAAAATAAAGAACAGACAAAAACAAGCAGAAAACCCAAGCCTGTCTGTAATTACATTAACTGCAAAAGAGTGAATATTCCAACTCAAAGCAAAGATTTCCATACTTAATAGCAAAACAAGTCTAAATATACACTGCTTAAAATAGATTTCTTTTTAAAATTTTTCTTGACGCTGCTGCAGATAGACCTCAGGGCTTCACACAAGACAGGTAACTGAGCCACATCCCCAACCCTGGGTTTATTTTAAATAAAGGAATGTGGAAGAGTTGAAAGTGAAAACATGGTGAAATATCACGTGAAAACTAACCCAAAAATCCCCAGATAAATCAATAACAGAAAGTAGACAAGAAAATCTAGAGTATTAATAGTCAATGAGACATTTTATAAAATGGTCAATCCAATAGGTAGATATTAACAATCCTAAGTTTGTAAGAACTAGAAATATATAAAGCGAAACCATGACAGTTTAAGTGTAGAACTAGACAAATCCGCAATCACAGTTGGAAATTTTAACATACATTTCTCAGTAACTGACAGAACATGCTAACAAAAACTCAGTAGAGATGCAGAAGACTTGAACCACATGATAAACAAATGACCTAATTCATGCATATGGAAAACTGTACTCAGCAACTGCACAACATACATTCTTTTCATATGCATGTGAAACATGTGCCTAAGAAAACCATATTCTAGGCCATAAAGTAAGTCTCAATAAATGTTTAAAATTGGATCATATTTTTTGTCTGTGGAATTAAATTGGACCTAAATAACAAAAAAGAAAACAGGAATTTGTACAGATATCTACAAATTATGCAATATAATGTCTGAATAACCAATGGGCCAAGAGAAATCACAACTGAAGATACAAAGTAATTTTTAACTGACTATTGATAAAAATATAACCTGTCAAAACTTTTGGGATGCAGGGAAGTTGTGCCTAAGTGAAATTTATGGCCTAAATACAAGTTTAATGGAAAAGGATGAAAAGTAGTAATCTCAGGAAGCACCTTAGGTAAAGAACAATGTTTAACCCAACAAACACAGAAAAGGAAATAATAAACCAGAAGCCAAAGAAATAGAAAATGAAAGCACCATAAAGGAAAACAAACAAAGCACATTTGGTTCTTTGAAAAGATGGATGAGGTTGTTAAAGCCCTAGAACAAGACTGATGGAGAAAAAAGGGAAAAGGCGTATCTCAGTGATGAAAAGAGAGAGAGTACTACAGACCCTATGGATATAAAAAATAATGACAAAATATGATAACTTTTAGCCAAAACTTATGAAAATTTTGACTAAATGGGTAAATTCATGAAAAAAAATCAGCAAGGAAAAAAAATGAATAGACCTATATTTACAATGAAAGAGACCAAATCTGCACTTAAAAGCCTGTGCACAGAATCTCCTCTAAGCCCAGGAAGCCTTGCCAGTGAGTTCATCTGAATACTTCTGAGACATTAAGACATGATATCACCTGAGCATGGTGGTGGTGCACACCTGGATTTCCAGCTACTCAAGAGGCTAAGGCAGGAAGATTGCAAGTTTGAGGTCAGCTTCCACAATTTAGTGAGCTCCTGTTTCAAAATAAAAACAAAAAAGAGTGGGATTGTACCTCAAGTGGGAGAGCACCCCTGGGTTCAACTCCTAGTACCATAAAAAATGACATTAATATTATAAAACATTTCCAAAAATAGAAAAAGATGGAACACTTAGAACTTCTATGAGGCACACATCACCTTTGGTATAAACCAAAGGACATCACAAGAAAAGAAATCTTTAGGAAAATCTCTTTTGTGAACACAGACACAATATCCTAAAAAAAAATAGTAAATATTAATTTTATCCAATGATAAAAATAAAAGCAAAAAGAAAAAGAAAGAAAGAAAGAAGAACATCATGACCAAATTGGGTTTATCCCTGTAAGGAAAGTTTGAGTTTACATGTGAACAGCAATTCCTTGAACAGCAATCAATGTAATTCACCACATTGACATAATAAAGAAAAACATTATTATTATCTCAAGTAGATGCAGAAAATGCATTTGATAAGATTCAACAGCCATCTATGGCTCAAAACTCTGGGCAAACTAGGAATAGAGGCAAATTTTTCTTAATTTAATAAAGTGTTTCTATGAAAACCCAGAGAAAACTGTATTCCATACAAAAATATTAAGAATAAGATAAGTATATCCGCCATAGACTTCTCCGTGTGATATTTTACTAAAAGCAAGTGAATTTAACAAAATACAAGGTCATATACAAATATCAACTATAATGTAAATACAAGTAATATAGAACTAGAAGATGAAATTTTCAGAATTTAATAGTATGAAAAACTAGGAATAAACATAATAAAATATATGTCAGTCATCTACATTAATAATTGTAGATTTTTGAGATATATTTAAATGGGATCATTTACCATATTCAAGGATGGGAAGACAATATTTAATATTGTAAAATAATGATTTACCCCAAATTTATTTATGTTCAAAATAGTCCCAATTTTTTTTTAAAAATAGGATTTGGGGCGGATGAAAACTACATACTGATTCCAAAATTTTTACACCAAGGACCAAGAGTAACCAAGAGAATCTTGCAGAACAATATTGGAACATGTTCACTGGCTAATATCATGACTTATTGAAAAAGCACAATTATTAAGATAATTGAACAGATGGCCTTGGTACAAAGATGGACAAATCATGCTCATCAGGGTCAAGTCAGGAGACAGAAGCCATTCAATTGTCTATGTGGGCAAGAGCAAGGGCCCGAGTGTGTTGGTCTCTAGGTTTTATATTTGAATGGCAGGTGCCCGTGTGGGCAAAGACCAGGTATTTTTAAGCTGTCACACTGTGCCAAGATCACTCACCCAGGGCCCGGCTCAGAGGCAGCATTTGGGAATTCTTGCCCAGTGAACATCTGAGTCAGCCACTGGGCAGACCCCTTCCTGCCCAGACTGACCCTGAAAGCTTATGGGCTGGAAGAAAAAGCCTGATTTTCCACAGGAGGGCAAACCCAGTGGGCACAGGAAACAAAGCTTGGGTGAGGGCCAAAGGTAGGGCTGCCGTCCTGGTCCTGTCACCTGCAGATGGAAGCCAAGGGGCAGGTGAGCCACATGTGGTTGGTCAACTTGCCCAGCTGGTAAATGTCATAGATGAAGAATGGCTGTTTGATTTCCTTGCCGGGGTCACAGGGAACAAGGCATCTTTCCACCTGCATCTCGGGCCGCAAGCGGCTGTATTGCACCTTCTCATCCCTCAGGTAGAGCCAGCAGGGCATGGGTTTTTCCGGGGGCTCCTCAACATAGCAGTACCCCAGGCGCTTGCGTTCGCCTGGCTCCTCACAGCGGTTACAGTCCTGCCAGGGCTCCCAGTGGGTAAAAATAAATACCTCGCCACCTAGGTTCAGAGTTTCATTCTGCAGGGGCTTTTGGCCCAGGTCTTTGTGTGTGATATGCAGGGTGGTGGCATCCTGGAAATCAATCTCATATTCTACTATGAGGGCGTTGGCACTGTCCTCACAGCGAAAGAGGCCTGCCTGCGAGGGCTGAGGCTTGGTCAATTGCAGGCTGCCCCCAGGAAGTTTCTTTATATTAGGCCATGAGTTAAGCAAGAAGATATTCTCCCCAAGAATGGAAGAAAAATACCAGAGTGCCGCCTTATGGTCACAATGCAGGACGATATCATTGCCCGAGAGCAGTGCCTTCTGGCACAGACTCTTGTAGGAACAGCTGATTAACGTCTGGGCCCACAGAATGGGGAAAGAAAAACTAACCAGACACAGGGTGGCCAACATGGTGGACCAACTACAGGCAGAGTCTGGGTGCCACACTGGGCATTGTGAGGTCACCCACAGAACTCAGGAATAATGCTTGGGCAGCGGAATGAACCTTGGCTCAAGGTGCTCCCGGAGTGCCATGTCATGTCCACTCATGTCATCCAGGGGCTGACTAAAGGATGTAGCATCAAAAACTCAGATGTCCCCAGGAGCTGTAGAGGAAATGAAATGAGTGAGCCTAAGTCAGAAATGAGTGGACTAAAAAGGAAAATTATTCAATATACAATGATAAAATGGGATAAAAGGCCTTCACGTCCACCAAGATGGAGAAGAAGGGGGACACACAGAAATCACTGTTCTGTACCATTCCTAAACCCAGGGAGAAGACATTCTAAGGGCCTCCAGATCATAGATGGAGAGGATTTCTTATCAGCCTCAAACCAGCTCCTTGATAGAGTCAGACACTTCTGAACCATGTTCTCTGAGGTTCATACCTCTAACCTCCAGGGACAGATCTCCCTCCCCATCATCCTCCTTGGATATGTCTGAAGTAGCGTTGGAAGACGTGCCTCCTTGAGACATCATCCGTTTCTCAGTCTACTTTCTGTTCCCCAAAGTTTGATACCTAAGGATTCTTACAAACCTCTAAGCAACTCCCCCCTCTCTCTTTCCTCCTTCTCCCTCTCCCCCTCCCTCTTATTTCTAGGTATCTTCACATGTTTCAGACTTCATCAGAGAGCCATATCCTTCATCTCTATTTCAATGAGGTATTTGTCCACCTGGAAGGATTTCCTGATAGTATCTTAATTTATTCCCAGATTTGGTGAGGGATGAGGTACAGGGGATTGAACTCAGGGGCACTTAACCACTGAGCCACATCTGCAGCTCTTATTTATTTATTTATTTTTAAGTTGTCGATAGACCTCTATTTTATTCATATGTGATGCTGAGAAACAAACCCAGTGCCTCACACATGAGCCACATCCCCAGCCCTGTTTTGTATTTTATTTAGAGACAGAGTCTCACTGAGTTGCTTAGCGCCTCTCTGTTGCTAAGACTGGCTTTGAACTTCAGATCCTCCTGCTTCAGCCTCCCAAGCCACTGGGAATACAGGCTTGTGCCACCACACCTGGATATTCCCAGATTTTAACAATGGTTAGTGATGATTCAACCATAATCTTGGTTTTAAACTTGCCAAAAGCTGAGTTCTAATTGGGCTTTCAAAGGATTTCTCAATTTTCAGCCACTTTTGGCCAATATCCACTCCTAATATCCTGTATTCCAACTGCTTCCCCTAAAGCTGCAAGTTCATTAAATACATTACCTGTATTACAAAGTATCTCAGGCAACAGCCTCTGGGTTCTAATAATTTTCCTTGAACCCAAAATGTCTAAGTCAATGCCATCTATTTTTAGTTCTGAGTACAGTAGCCCCCTACTCCTGGCACTCATTTTGGTATCAATCAAGAAAGCCTATTTGCTACTATACTAAACTTCCCCCAAATCTGAGTGACTTTCAAATAGCAAAGGTTGGCTTCTCAGTTATGCTCCATGTCCACTGTGGACAATGGTTCCAGCTCCAAGCTTTACCTCTCTATGCCACACACATTCACTTACTACCCAAATAATTACTGACGACCAACCTTGCACCAGGTACCAAGGATCCAGCTTAAGTCCCTGACCTCCTGATGCTTACAGTCTAGTGGGGATGTATTCGTCGGGTTAGGTTAGATTATCCTATGTAACAAAAGAATTCTGGAATCTTCGTGGCTTAACACAATTCTTTTTTCACACTCCATGTCCCAGTGTTGGTGAGTGGAGCACTCTATTCCACAAGGTCCTTAAAGATACCACTGGGAACACCACTAGTTGCTATGGCAGAAGAAGGGAGAAAACTGAGTCACATACTGGCAATTAACTGCTTTGGCCTGGGAGGCGTCCACCTTAGTTTTGTCAACAGGCCACTAACTAGAATCAACCACCTAGTCCCACCTGACCACAGAGGGGCTGAGAAATGTAGGAATGCACATGGGATATTTGTTGAGTGATACTTGTCTTTACATTGAGAGAAAATAGATGACAAAGAATGACTAACAAAACATCAGATGATAGTAAATTCAGGAAAACAAAAAGTGGGGACAGAGAAATTAGAGATAGAGCCTGTTAAGGTATGTATGCACCCCCCCACCCCAAATGCATATGTCGAAGCCCTAACTCACACTCTCACAGAATGTGACTATATTTGGAAATAGGGTATAAGCAAAAATAACCAACACAGTTTCAGCACCATTATGAAAACACAAAGAACCAGGACGGAAGCAGACCTCAAGCGGATCAGCAAGCTTTCTTTTATTTTGCAGCAGAGTCAATCAATCAGGCATGCTGGGGGCGGGGTGTGTGTGTGTGTGTGTGTGTGTGTGTGTGTGTGTGTGTCATTTTCTGTGTAGGAAAATAACCACCGGTTACAGAAGGAGTCTGAATTTTATAGTTTACAATGAGGATGGTTGAATTATTGGAAACTGAGGCAGAATGTCGATTTGGGCAGGGTCAGTGAAAAAGTTGTAAAAAGCCCCAAACTCACTGTCACTGGGAAAAGCTCAGAACTCGGTGTTCCCTGCTTCTCTTCTTCCTCTGGACCCACTGTTACCCAGAGCTTGGCGACTTGCTCTTCTCCTTCCAGGACTCATTGGCAACGGGACAGGGTGAAAGTCCAGGGCCCAGTGTTTCAGTGCCACCCTCCCTGCAGGTCCCACTGTGGTTGGGAAGGGGTGAATGTTTGCTGGTGGTAGAGATGGGAGGACGAACAGGGGAGGGATCAAAGTTTGCTTTCTTTCCCTTGGGGCCCATTGTTACTGGGAAAGGATTTACTGGGAGAGGATTCATGGTTGCCTTCCTCTTCCCTCTTCCTCGGGGTCAGACAGTTTGGGGGAGTTGTCATTTCCCTGTCCTGGGGGTGGTCATATCCTTCAGAGGGAATATAAAAATGCAACTGAATTAAAATGAGATTGCTAGGGTGGGCTCTAGTCCAATGTGATTGACATCCTTATAAGAGGAAAAAAATTAGGACACAGAGAACACAGATAGAGGGAGACTATGTGAAGACGGAGTGAAAAGCCAGAGAGAATCCTCAGAATGAGACCAAACCTTCCAATATCCTGATCTTGGTCTTTTAGCTTCCAGCACTGTGAAGACATAAATTTCTGTTGTTTAAGTCACCTGGCCTATGGTGTTTATTATAGCATCCCTCGAAAACTAGTATAGAGACTATTGTAAAGGGGGTAGGGAGAGAAGGTCTCTCTAAAGAAGTGATATTTGAGCAGTTCTCCATAAAATGAGCCATGAATATTCCAGGGGAAGCAAAGTCTGGATTAATCACACAGCACATGCAAAGTCCTTCAGGTGGGCACAGGTTTGACATGGGTCAATATCCTAAGACTAGCAGAAGCATACGTGTAAACAAAGTTGGGTTTATTTGATTCACTGCAGGGAGGGAAGAGACCATGGGAAATGATACAGTGTCTCAGAAAGATGAGCTAGAGGAGACTGTGGAATGTGAACTCTGTTATGTGACTTTTGAGAAAAGTCTGAAGATGTGGGGAGTTGCTGGGATGGGGAGCTGCCAGGAAGTATGACTAATTCTATCTTCTTTAGGAGATAAGAAAAATGGAGCACAGCTTAACTTAAAATGGGTGAAGAAGCAGTCGTCACGCATCATCTGGGATGGGGGATTTTTGATATCTTGTGGTTTGGACAATGTTCCTGCTTTGTCTGTGTTCAGACATGATAAAGACCATTATGGCCAGTCTTAGCAACTCAGCAGGGTTCTGAACAACTTGAGCAACTTAAGGAGACCCTGTCTCAAAATAAAAAATGAAAAATTAAAAGGGCTGGCGATGTTGCTCAGTGGTTAAGCACTCCTGGGTTCAATCGGAGGAGGAGGAGGAGGAGGAGGAGGGGGAGGAGGGGGAGGAGAGAATTCTATAATAAAAAAAACAAACGAACAACTATCCTCTAACAATCAGGGAGAAATTAAGACATCCTCACATCCACAAAAGCTGAAGGAATCTAGTACCACTAGACTTGTCCTATTTAAAAATGCTAACGGGATGTTACTGTTTATCATCCAAAAGATAATAAGCAGTAACCCGAGGCCATATGAAGAAGTAAAGATCTTTTGGAAAGTAAATACATGTGCAGTTATAAAAACTAATTTTATTCTAATTTTGGTTTGTGATTTCAGTTTTTATTGCTTACATGATATAAAAGAAAATGTATAAAATAATTATTAACCTTTGTTATCAGAAAAACTCAGGCCACTCCAAGTCCTCTGAGAAAGAGCCACCGGAAGGCTTTGAGCGGAGGCAGGTGATCGACTTAAGTTTTACAGGACTCAGTCGGGAACTTGCCTGGGTCCCGAACCCACCAGCGGGTCTGCAACCTCCAGCGGTTGTGGGGGAAGCGCCTGAGTCGTGTTTCCCAGGATGCGCTCCCCACTTGACGCCACCGGGAGGCAGCAGAGTCGCGCCTAGCGCTGCCCCGGTGGCTGGCAGAGCAGCACCCCGCCCGGGCGCAGGTAGCCAGTCCCAGGGAATTCCTGGGCGGAAACGGATCCCTCGCGCCTCTGCTCGGCCCCTTTAAGAGCCCGAGTTTCCGGAGGTCTGACCTAGGGCGAGGGATGCCCGGGGGCTGAACCACCGGTGGAGGGTAGGGGGAGGCGGGAAGAACTTCCCAAGTAGAATTCTAACTTTTTCAAGGGGTGAGTCCCATCGGGCGTCCCTAGAGGGTCCGAGCTTCCCTTCTGGGGACTTCATTTTGATTCTTGAGGTCATCTAACTGGGAGGTGTATGAAGCCCGCAGCGCCTCCCCGCACCGGGGCGGACCGAACCCCACTGGCTGGAAACCCGGGCGCTGCCGGCGCGCGTCTCCCGGGCGGGACCCGCTGAGGCTCGCCCCTCCCCGCAGGGCGCACCTAGGCGGGTCCATCGCCGGCCCCGGAGAGGGGTGTGCGCAGGCAGGGAACAGGTGCGCGGCAGGGCCCGCCCCTCCTAACAGGTGGCTCTCTCCGAGCAGGTCTCTGTTCTCGTGGACCTCGTCCGCTCGGCCTGTTGGGGGCAGGACAGGGCTGCACGAGGCCCGCAGTCTGCGGGCGCCCTCCTGGCGGGCCGGTCACTTGGTTTCGGCCCTGGGGGCAGAGCGCACCTGGGTCAGCCCACTTCCGGGGAGGGAGGCCGAGGAGCCCCACCCCGCCGCCCACCCCGAACCCGGCCGGGGCTCCCACCGTGTGTACCTGGGCCGATCCATTCCCAGGGGCGCGCCGGGGGTGGAGCGGCTCGGAGACGCGCCGTGGGTCTACCCAGTTTCTCCCCGAAAGCTGAAGGCGTGCGCTTCATCCACGTTATTTTTGTTGGTCGAACTCCTCGAGCGCGGCCGGAGAGACTTGGAATAGAGACAAGGAGCGGAAGTGGAAAGGGGAGGAGCGCGCACCCCTCCCGGCCTCGGTGCTCGCCGCGCCCCCTACCCTCCCGGTACTTGGGAGGGGACGCGCGGGGCCGACGCGCCCAGACGGCCGCGATGGCGCGGGTGGCCTGTGGGCATTCCTGGGCGCCCTGCGCCCACCCGGCCGCGGTGGGCTTCTTGTGGCTCTTTTTCAGTACCTGGTGCACAGGTAAGGGACGTGGGGCCTCGGGTGCTGGGGAACCGCGGGAGGGCACCACACGGCGGGGGGTGGATTCAGTTCTCCGCGGCCCGGGAGGTGGGAGAACAAGGGCGAGGCCGGGGGGTGGGTGGGTGCGAAGGCGCAAAAGCTCAGGACCTCCAGATCCGTCGGGTTTGGGGAGACCTCTGCGGTGCCCGAGTGAGGGAATTCCCCACCCTCTCACCGAGCGCTCCCCGCGCCCTGGTCGGAGACAGCAGGAAGTGAAACTCCCGGGATCGTGTGCCCTGGAGCGGCTGGGAGACGGGGACCCTTTGTGGGGTAGCAGTGAAGGACCCCTCGATCACGGGAAAAGCTGAAATGGAATCTTAGGCTTCCCTGGAGAAGGGTTGGGGTAACGGGGAAATGTTAGATTGAGGGGGTGAATCAGACGTTTCCTAAAGGAAGGGATCAAGAAGTAGTGCCCAAGCTTCGAGTGGGCGTGGGATGGGGACTTCCCACCACCCCCGGCCCCACCCACCTCGCGCGGGTTCCCTGGTATCTGTGCGTAAGAGACTGGCAAGATGGACTTATGGACCCGAAACCATCTTCCGCAGGCCAGCCCTGAACTGGATTGGATGTTCACCCTGGTGGGGGACAGGGGGCTTTGTCTTTCAGCAAGCATATTTCGGTGTGTGTTTGGGATGACTTTGGGTAGGGTCAGGTGGGATGTTGACAGAAATGTTGTGGGGGCTTTAGCCACTCCAGAGAACGCAGGTCAGACTTCTCCAAAATTCACAAAACCCCGGTAACTTGGAATCCTTGGGAAAGTTCTTTTTGAGCTGAGGTTTTGAGCCCTGGCGCGCCTTGCGGTGGCTATTTGGTCTTGCCCCTACAGGCCACAGAGGGAATGGGCAAGGGAACAGAGGGTAGACTGGGGTGATTCAGAGGCCACAGTCTGGAAGGATGGACAGAACATTCCAGTAAAATGGCCATTGACCTCATATCTGCCACTTTTCAACCCCAAGGGTCTATAAAATGGGCATGACTGTCAGAGCTACCTCACCAGGCCTGGGAATTAAAGAACAATGTGTGCCAGGTGCTCTGGACAGCCACACACTTGTGTGGCAAGTGATGTGGTGGCAATGATGTGACTCATTCCTGTTGAAGTTCTTTCCTGAGCTTACAATGATCCCTACTGACTCTCCTCTTGCCCTCAGCCCCTGCTGGTGGCATCCAGGTGACTGTGTCTGACCCCTACCACGTAGTGATACTGTTCCAGCCTGTGACCTTGCCCTGCACCTATCAGATGAGCTCGACCCTCCCAGAGCCCATCGTAATCTGGAAGTACAAGTCCTTTTGCCGGGACCGCGTTGCTGATGCCTTCTCCCCAGCCAGTGTGGACAACCAGATCAATGCCCAGTTGGCAGCAGGCAATCCCGGTTACAATCCCTATGTGGAGTGCCAGGACAGTGTGCGCACAGTCAGGGTTGTGGCCACCAAGCAGGGCAATGCTGTGACCCTGGGAGACTACTACCAAGGCCGGAGGATCACCATCACAGGAAGTACGTGGGGCCAGGGGGCTGGGAGGTTGGCTTGGGTGGGTGGTGGGGCAGGGTTCCTGGTGCCCAGCCTGGAGTCCCCACCTGGAAGCTGGCAATAGAACCTGAAAGGACCCACAAAGGGAGGAATCCTTCCATCCATCTATTCCTTATCTCCACAACACAGATTTAGTGAGCACCTGCTGTATAGCAGGTGCTGTTCTAGGCTCTGGGAACACGGCAGTAAACAAAACCATCCAATCATTTCCCTCATTGGCTCATATTACATCAAGGGAAACAAACACAACATACACTGTCAAATGCTTGTGCGGTTAAAAAAATGCGGTAGTGGAGAGGCAGGGGTGTGTTCTATAATAGGACCAGTAATACCAGCAATAAGAAGTAAAAGTTAAAGAAGTAACAGTTGTAAAGGCCCTTCTGTGTGCAAGGCTCTAATCCAGGTTTCCATGGATTAACTCATTTACACCACACAGAAATTGAATGAATTGAGTCTATTATTGTCATTTTAGGAGGCCCAGAAAGAAAAAGTAACTTCCACAGCTGACCACTGAGCTGCTAAGAGCTGAGTTCCCACTCAGCCACTTTGGGCCAAGTCTCTAAGCCCCTAAGCTCTGGGCAGGGAATCAGCAGAGGGCCTCAGAGAGGAGGTGAGGGGAGTAAAGGACACTGGCAGGCGACTTAATGGAGAAAGCCTGTGCCTTCCCAGGCACGGCACATGCATTCTCCCATTGAGTGGTCTCAATGACCGAGGTGCAGATGGGTTAAGGAACCTGTTCAGGTGCACAGGTAGTAAAGAGCTGGTGCTGGAATTCCAATCAGGCAGCCCTGAGGGCCCTTGTTCTTAGCCATAATGCTGCCTCCTGACAGCCAGTGCCTGTTGGGATTAGTGAGGGGGAAGGTCGATCGTGCATTCAGTATTTATCAAGCATCTCCTACATGCCAGGTGCTGTTGTGCGCACTGGGGGTGGAGTGGCGTTCAGAATGGCCAAGGTCCCTTCCCCGTGACCTTGGGAGAAAACATTCTAGTGGGGTGAGACTGGTAACAAATAAACAGATTAAGAAAGAGCAAGGGAATTTCAGATTGTGCCAAGTGCCACGAGAACACAGCAGCAGGGGACGTGCTGTAGGGAACGGCTTGGAAGTGCCTGCCTTACAGCCTGTTCCAGTGAGATTTGAGGAGGTGCTGGGACCAGGCCCTAAAGAATCCAGAAGGCAAAGAGGAAGGGCCGAGCAGCCGTGAGCCAGGGATGAAGACTCACGCACATAACTGTGTGTCCTCAATCCCGGGCATGGGACAGAATGGGAACGAGAGAAGGGTGGATCCCTTTGCAGACCCCAAGTGACCAGGCCGTGGAACACTCTCCTTCTCCCACTGTGTCAGACACAGGTGATAGGCAGGGTTCCAGGGACTGAGCCTGGTGTTTCAGGGCAGGGACAGGCTTGCTCTGAATTTACATGGCAGGTCAGCCCTAAGCATCCTGCCATTTTTGAGGTTGGAGGGCGTCTTGGGGGTTCACTCTATATGGACACCCTCTCCAACCCGGGGGCCTCTCCAGCATGGATCAGACATACATATCTAGCCCCTATCAGGACAAACCGAATACCGAGCCTGCCCTAGAGGGCCAGCTGGAATCACATCTCCTCTGCTGTGCACAGAACTCCAGAATGGCCTCAGCTCTATCAGGGGGAGGGGGAGGGGAGACCCTTTGGGCTCCAGAGGCCTCAAAGGCCTCGGCCTTTCAGACTCCCTAACCCTGAGCCAGTGTTTGATATGGGCCATGACATGTCATATGTCTGTCCTTTGAGGAAATCCAGTAGCCATGAGACCTTTCTCCATTTCAGCTTTGAGGACAGGGAGAAATGGACTTCTGTGGTGCTCCTTGGGTCACCAGCCTTCTTGGTTTTTAAAGCAAAAGCATTTCTGGGCAAACCAGAAGGTGCCCCTCCACTTGGAGTGGATCTGCTTCTCTTCCATTCTTCCCTGCTCTGGGCAATGTGGGGTGCTAGTGTTGGAGGCCCTGTTCCACCTCTTCAAGCTGCTTGGGGCCATGTGAGTCCCCTCTCAGCCCCACTAGAGCAGAGACATTGGACCTCTGAAATCATGAGGGCCACCTCTGTGGTAGGTAGTTAAGGAACCTGAGGCCAGCGTCATAGAGGAGGTCCAGCTTCTGTCCCCACTAGAGACCAGAAACTTTTCTTTGCACCTAGAACAGTTAAGACAGTGCCCAGCCCTGTGATCTTAGGGCAGCCCTTGACCAGGAACAGGGTGCGCCTGCAGGAAGGAAGTGGGCTCAGGCCTGCCTTAGGATCAACCAAAAGAAGCCGGAAAGTCCTATTTGCTTGAGTTTTGAAACATGCAGGCCAAACAAAACACACCGAGACCCACAGGTCCGGTCCTGGAGACCCCAGGTTTCAACTTCTGGTCTATATAATTGTTTGCCATGGTGGGGGGTTCCTGTCTGCCTCTTTGGCTTTGGGCTGGGCCCAGCTCTTGAGCACTGTTGTTGGAGGGATGTGGTCAGGATCTCATTAGCAACTCTGCCTTAGGCTCATGGGGGACAGGAACAGGGTAGAGACGATCCCAGCCAGGAGAGCCCCCATAGCTTCATGGCCACATTCTTTCCAGCCAAGCACTTCCCCTTGGCCTGACCTAATGCTCTCCTTCATGGTGGCTCTTTGGGAGCATTAACTGTGGGTGCCCCAGTCCACAGCACTACTACCACCTGCTGATGTACCTCAGAGATACAGGTGGAAAACAGTGGGCCCAGAGGTCACTGCAGAGGAGTCTAGTGTGTTTAGGAGAATCTAGATCAGAGTTTTTGAGGATTTGATGAAAGGCTGGATCTATACAAAGAAACTCAGCACATAGTCAAAGCTCTATAAAGAGTGGCCATGTGCTCCGGAGGTCACCTCTGGCCTTCCCTGGTTTCCTTATTCAAAACTGCACACCCCACCTGCATGCCTGGTACTTTCTCTCTGCCTTCCCTGGCTCATTTGCTCCAAACTCTTTGTCACTACAGAATATGCAATATGGTGAAGTTTTGTTTTGTTTTGTTTTAATTTGTCTCTCTTTCCCAGTTAGAATCTAAGCTCCATAAGGGCAAGTTCTCCATAGTAGTGGTTCTTATTCTTGCAGACGTCAAAGTGTTTTTGTTTTAATGGCAAGCAAACAGAGAGGAACTTGAAAAATATTTCAAATCACAATGATAAACTAATTATTAAAATAACATATATTTTTTAATATTTTTATTTGTCAATGGACCTTTATTACATATGGTGCTGAGAATCAAACCCAGTGCCTTGTGCATGCTAGGCAAGCACTCTACCACTGAGCCACCACCCCAGTCCCCAAATAACATATCTTTATGATAAAGTAACTACATTTTCCAAAAACAATTCTTTTTTAATGAGAAGAGTGGTGTTTTCTATTTTTGAAAGTCTTGTTGAATAGAAGAAGCTGGATCCTCAACCCTGCTTCAGTCTATTATGATATTGCTCAAATGTCACCTACACTCTGAAAAGGCCACAGCCCACTCATAAGAAATGAAAGGGGGGGGGGGAGCAAATAATGTCTATTATGAAAATAACTTTGACCTCACTGATCCCCTAAAAAGGTCTTGAGGAACCAGGAACCATGGTGCACAGATCATTTTGAGAACCATTGTTTGGTAGTATACCAGGTGCCTCAAATAGTGCCTGAAAAACAAGATGCATTCAGTGGTTATTTGTTAAATGTTGAATGGATGAATCAAGTTCTATTTGACTATAGCCATGTGCCCAGAATACTGGAACAGGCAACGGAAACCAAGGAAGGTCAGCATGAGGAGAGAAGGGGGACATTTCTGCACCTTGGCCAGTCCCTGTGTCTGGCCAGCAGTGACCAAGACAGACTTGGTTCTGTGTGCAGTGCACATTCTTGCAGGGGCAGAGGTGGGCAGACAGCACCTGGGTGATGGAGGTCAGCAGTTGGGCAGGAGAGCCATAGAGGTTGGGATGGCCAGGGAAGAACACTCCTCCCTATTGAGACTTGAGTAATGGGAAGGAACCAGCCTGAGAGGGTCTGCAGGGACAGGTGTGGGAGGTGGACAAGTAGAGGGCAAGCTGAGGCAGCTCTGAGCCCAGCATGTTGGGGACAACATGGAGGCCAGCCTGTGCAGAGCCCAGTGAACAAAGGAGATGGCATGGATGAGGCTGGCATGATAGCCACTGGCCAGAACATGCTGAGGACACGTGGTGGTCCAGGGAGGCTTTTGGATGGATGTGGACAGTGTTAAAAGGCAGGTCTTTCTGAGGACGTGAGGCCTACCTTCTGAGGAAGAGGCTCCAGTTCTGTTCTTCCCTCAGCACTTAGTGGCTGTTGTCTCACTAGGTGCTGGGTGCTGAGGATTGGGGCACCCACAGTTACTGCTCTTGGCACTATTGTGGAGAAGGACATTGGGTCCACGGGGCCAGGTGATGGGCCAGGCAATGGGAGCCAGAGTGGCTGGAAAGAAGGTGGCCCTGAACTGGGGCTCTCCTGGCTGGATTGCCTGTCTCTAGCCTGTTCCTGTCCCCCATGGGCCCGAGGCAGAGTTGCCAAGCTGGTGCCACCCTGTTCCACACTTGTGTTGGCTGAAGGGATTTAACTAATGAGAGCCTGAGGAGTCCAGAGGAAACCGGATGTGCTGAAAGACTTTCATTAGTGGCATAATTAATAGGCTCCTGGCCTGAGGCTGCTTCAGACTGAGCTTCCCCAAGCCTTGGGCCTGGCCTGGAATGCGGGGACAGGCGGGGAGGGTGTGGGGGTGGACAGGGAACTGGGAGAGTCCTCTCTGTCTCCCACACATCACGCCCGCCCGCTCTTCTCCTGCCTGGGCATCTCCTATCTCGAATCTGGCCTAGTTAGCTCTGCCTCCTCCCTCTGGACCCATCCCCCAGTCTGCACCAGGCCTCGGGCCGTTTGTGTCAGGAGATCACACCTCGATTTGGAGAGGTCCTAGGGAGGATGGTTCTGAGCTGAAAAGCACTGACCCTGCCATGAACCTGACCCTGCTCTGCCATCAATGAGCTGTGCCACTTCCGGTGGATCAGGTCATTCTCACACCACCCCAGCTTTTTTTTTTTTTTAAATTATTTTTTGTTGTAGTTGGACACAATACTTTATTTTATTTATTTATTATGATGTGGTGCTGAGCATCAAGCTCAGCGCCTCACACACGTGCTAGGAAAGCACCCCACCACTATAACCCCAGCCCCCCACCAGGCTTCTTGAAGTGACCCATGTTCCATATTCAGAGCAGTGCACGAGGAGCACCGAGCCCTGCCCCCTTGCTCCCTCCCTGCTGTGCCCATGGGATGGGGGGCTCTGGTCCTGTCAGGGTTAGACACCCCCTCTCATGAGGTGCCCTCACACCATCTCTTCCCGTCTCAGATGCTGACCTGACCTTTGAGCAGACGTCTTGGGGGGACAGTGGTGTGTATTATTGCTCCGTGGTGTCGGCCCAGGATCTCCAGGGGAACAACGAGGCCTATGCAGAGCTCATCGTCCTTGGTGAGTGGGGCTGCTCTCTGAGGTCCTTGGAAGGGGGAGGGGGAGCAGGCCCTTCTGTCCCTTCTGTGTCCTTACTCTGCCCTCCAGCCCACTCACTGGGCTCTTTACCTGCTTTGCTCTCCCCTCATGCCACCGCCAGTCACTTGAGCTTCTCTGTGCCCTGCACCCCAGGAAGGGACCTTTCCCCTGCAGCCTTCCAAGTCAGCCAGAGCCAAACTAAGAATGGAGAGAACCGGGGGCTCTACCTCTTCCCAGAAGTCTCCCTTTTTGAAAACAGACATGCTCAGATGTGGTTGACAAGGAGGGAGGAGGATGACTGTGTGTGTCGTGGGGGCAGGGGCAGTGTGGGTTCAGGACCCCGCCCCAGAACCACAGTCCCAGGATGCTCCCATCCCTTGTGTGAAAGGGCTTAGTTTACAAAGAACCTACCTCTAATTCTCCGGTATACTTTAAGTCATCTCTTGGTTACTTTTAATACTTGATACAATGTCATGCGGTCAGGAGTTGTTACACTGTATTGCTTAGGCAATGGTAACATGGGAAAAAGTCCTGTCCATGTTCAGTAAGGATTTTTTTTTTTTTTCAGTCCTCCCTGGTCAGGGAGGGCCAACAACAGTGACATAGACAGTGTGATTGAGAGGCTGGACCCACTGGACCACCTGCTCTCTCCTCATAGGGCCCTAGGGCACTTTGGAGTTCCTTGACAGACGCAGCATCTTTGTCTTTTGACTGCTAGGAAGTGTGCAAGTTTGTATGTAAAATGAGGTGGCACCAGATGCCAGGGGCATGGTGAGGTGTCCACCAGCAGCTCCCACGCGGCTGGGTGGCCTCGGCCCTGTGGAGCAGGTGCTACCATGGGCCAGGTGCTCTGTTAGAAGCACAGCACAGTGGTGTGTGCTAGTGTGAGCGGTGCCATGAGCTGAAGGGTGTCGTCCCCTCACGTGTGTGACGGAGCAGGCATGCCAGGTGAACATGGGCCAGGATGCTCTTGCACCTGCAATCCCGCCATCCGGGAAGTTCTGGAAACACACCCGTGGCAACAGTGATTCTCCGAGTTTAACCCCAGGGCCTGTTCACCCTGGAACATTCCGAGGCCTCGGAGGAGTCGTTCAGGGTCTTTGAGGCTATGTCTATAGTTGCTTAGTGTGTTAGAAACTGAAACTGGCTACTTTTTAAAGCATAAGATACACAAGTGCACAAGCCATAGCTCTCAAGGCAATGATGTCATTGTGTCACAGAGGCTCTGGAAAGCCCCACATGAGAGAAGGAGGGCAAAGAAGGCAAGTAATGCCTTGGTGTCCTGAAAGGGTCTGGGCTTAGAACCAGACTTCCATGCTTCTGCGCCTCACGGGGGTGTGTGACGCCACGTGGGAGCCCCACGAGAGCTCCGTGGTGAGGGACTGCGTGTGTGGGCTCCCGCCATGTGCTGCTCGCAGGACACAGGCCCCCATGGCACCTGAGGGAAGGCACCAACTGGGTCAGGAAACATGCACACGTGACAGAATGCACAAACAGAGGATGGAACCCTGGTGGGTCACAGGACCAGGATCCCATGTGACTTCTATGGGCCACAGAAGCTTCTGCCTTTGTGGGCCCCTTTCTCCATTTAAACAAAACAAAACACACAAAGACATTCCATTTTTATATACTTAGTATTATACATTTTTTTTTCTCCAGATTAAAAAAAAAAAAAAAAAAGCATGTTGCTGGGTCCTAGGGTGCTGGGCCTGCTCTGCTTGACACCACGGGATCCTTGCTGTTGTCTGTTGGAACCTTTGGGAAGATAGGCCCCTTGGATGGGAAAGATAGAATGACCGGACTAAGGTCAAACTTTCGGGACCCCGTGGCGTGTGTTGGAACCTGCTGGGGCTGACAGCAAGTGGATTATGTGATGGTGGCCTTCACACCCACCAGCACCCACATGTGAGCAGGGGTGGAGGGCAGGCACCACACGCCAAGTCTCTTCTAGGCCACCAGCCTCGCCCCTGCCTGCTTGCTGCAGGACACACCTTCTACTGAGCAGCCTGGAATGGGGCACTTTTTAGGGACAGGACTGCCTGGGCTGGCTCTGGCCAGCATAATCTCCTGTTCTCTTTTATCCCTCCAGGCAGGACCTCGGGGGTGACTGAACTCTTACCTGATTTTCAGGCGGGGCCCATGGAAGGTATGGGGTGGAGTCCTCAGTGGGGCTTCTCTCTGGCATTTTCCTCCCCCCCAATCACTCTCGCTGTGAACCCCACTAACTCTGTTTGACCTTGTGGCATCTAGTGGCCTGGCTCTGGGCTTGGAGGTGGGCTGGGCTGGCTGAGGAGGGACCTGGGGTGTAGGCAGGGGCTCCTGTGACTGGCGCCAGCTGTGTTCTTCAGGGGTTGGGTCTGGGCTATGGCTCTCTCCCCTCCTAGAGGCTACACTCCATCTTGCTTTGGCCAGGTTACTCTTGTTTTCTGCCTTGTCCATTTGAAGCCCAAGGGATCCCTAACTTGGGGATTGGCCCTGGTTGTAGAGGGTTCGGCATCCCTCTGTACTGTGCCCCCAACTCTGGCACAGAGAATCCAATGAGGGCTGCAGGTCCCTGGGCCCAGGTTGGCTCTGTGCTGCCCCTGCAGAGCCTCTCTGCCCCTGTTGGTTTTTCCCGGCTCCCGGCTCAGGGCCTCCTCTGGTCTCCCTGCAGACTGGCTCTTCGTGGTCGTGGTCTGCCTGGCTGCCTTCCTTGTCTTTCTCCTCCTGGGCATTTGCTGGTGTCAGTGCTGCCCACATACCTGCTGCTGTTACGTCAGGTGCCCCTGCTGCCCGGAGAAGTGCTGCTGTCCCGAGGCCCGTAAGTGCTCCTCATGCCACCTTCATGCAGCCTCCCTGCTGGGCAGTGGCTGCCTACCCAGGACAGTGCCCTGATCTGGAGGTTAGGAGGTTAGCACTAGGGAGGCAGGACGCCAAGGAGGACCTGCTGTTTTAGATTATCACTTACTTATTTCAACTTATATTTTTCATTTATTGAGGGTTTTTGGTTTTTTAATATAATTTATGAACATAGTAAAAAAAAAAGTCCAACATATAAGATTATTCACAGGGAAGCAAGGATCGCTTTAAAAACAAAATCTCAAGTGTAAAAGTTAAGAAAACAAGGTTTACCGCACCATGTAATTTCAGCACATTTTAAAAAAACACATATTCACATGAACACTATACATTTTACATGAAGCCTGCGTTTAGGGGCACTCCTGATGTATCAGAGTGGGGTACCTGTGGAAGTTCAGAAATAGAAGTAGGACCAGAAATGAAGTGGGCGGAGGACACAAGCAAAGAGAAAGAAAGTGAGTCTCCCTCCCACCACTGCCTGTTTCCCTCCTCGGGGCACCAGCTGTTACCAGTTCCTTAGTCCTTCAGGAGGGCGAGTAGATAGACCACTACTTCTGCACACAACCCAAGGAGTATTAACGGGAAAACAGGCAGTTACGAGCCTGAGTAGGTGGATGTTTGAGGTTGGCCTGATAATGCCTAATGGGCTGGCCCAGTGAGTGCCTTGCCCTTCTCTTCTGTAAAATGGGGCTCATGGCAGAGCTCACTGGGCAGGGTGAGTCAGGGATGTAGTGAACTCAGTTCACAGCTTTCAGCACAAGGCTGGACCTCTATAGTGTTTGGAGCCTACTAGCTGTTGGACGTGGGTTTAGTCTACATTAGCAATGCCTTCAGGCTAGGGTACAGCTCAGGGCCCCCCATACACTGTGACCTCTGACCTGCAGCATTCTCTTCTCTTTGAGCTTGAAGGGAAGACTGGGAAAGTGCCCAGGAAGCTGCAGCTCCGTCCATGCCAGCTGGTACTATGGTGGGCAACCCGGCTCCTCAAAGTCTCACTCCCATCACTTAATTGAGAGCTCTGGCTCAGGTGGTGGGTGTTAGTCCATTTTACAGATTCAGAAAAGAACTTTAAAGGGCTGCCACCAAGTTTTCAGTTAGCCCACTGAGGCTGAGGTCAAGGTGCACAGGCCTGTCCCCAGGCACACCTCCTCCACCTACCGCCTATCCCTGTTACTTCAGCTCTAGCCCCAGCCACAGCCCCCTGCAGATCCATCAGGAAACAGCTTCCACTGCTAATTATAACACAGCAAATCAGTCACCTGAGCTGATGTAGGGTTTTTTCCTAGGTGGGGCTCAGCACTTATTCTTCTCCTTTTGAACCAAATCAGAGTAGGGCGTCTCCCTGGGCCTGTGGATACCAAGGAGGAAGTGACTTGCCTAGAGCCCAGTGACTTGGCCACAGAGCAGCCATGGGACCCAACCTCCTGCTGTGGGAGGAAGGAAGCAAGGATTTGCCCTTGAGCTGTCAAGCCTAGAGCCAGGCTGGCTGGCCCTCTGGGTGAGAGTGGGCGGGGCCAGGAGTTGGAAACCCTAGAGGAGCTATTTTGCTCCTGGCTGAGGCGGCCCAGTTAACTCCTGGGGCCCTTGTGGCCTGTCTCAGACCAATTTCCTTTCCTTGCCATCTGGCTCTGGATGACCCAGCAGGCATGACAGCAGAGTGGGCATGGGATATCCCCCGGCAACTCCCTGTTCCAGAGCAGGGACTCTGCCACCCAAAGGGAAACTTGGTTTCAATCCGTGGGATAGTGTAGGCCCGAGAGGTGGCTTTGCTCACTGTCGCCTGTAAGCACACAGTGCAGCCAGAGCTTTAGGGAAGGTAGCTGGAGAATTGGAATTTCACATAAATCTTTTTTGACAAATGTTGGCAAACCACAAGGTCAAACAAAATGTATTGGCCTGCCAGATTGGGGGCCGTGGACTGCCAGTGTGCCACACGCCCCCTATTCTGAAAGCTCCATGAAGAATCACAGGAGGTGACAACCTAAGCATAGCTGATGTTCCCTGGCTTTGAGGTACTGTAATAATGTGGTGGGGGAGGCAGGCGCACAGCCCTTAGAACCCCCTCACACAGCAGCATGGCTCCTGGCCGCCTTCTCATGCCAACTGTGCCCTCCCAGTGTATGCAGCTGGCAAAGCAGCCACATCAGGCGTCCCAAGCATCTACGCCCCAAGCACCTACGCCCACCTCTCCCCGACCAAGACCCCACCTCCACCGCCAGCCATGATTCCCATGGGCCCTGTCTACAATGGATACCCTGGAGGGTACGCTGGAGAATTTGACAGGAATAGTTCAGGTGAGGGCTGACCTAAGAGGAGCTGGACTGGGCACTGGACACAAAGGGGGCTGGGGCTGGGAGGAAGAGTGGGTGGGAGGTACTGGGAATGCAAGGCTGGGGGCGTGGGGGGCAGCCACTGACCACCAATCTCCTTCAGTTGGCCACAGCTCCCAGGTACCCCTGCTTCGGGACACAGACAGCAACATGACGTCTGGTGAGAACCTGTCATTCCCAAGTTGGATATGCCTGTAGAGGGAAGCTGGGTGGGTCAGCATCCATCTTCCCAAATCGATCACCTTCTCCTATCCCTAGAAGTCCGCAGTGGGTACAGGATCCAGGCCAGCCAGCAGGATGACTCCATGAGAGTCCTGTACTACATGGAGAAAGAGCTGGCCAACTTCGACCCCTCTCGACCGGGACCTGGCCCCCCCAATGGTCGTTTAGAACGGGGTGAGGAGACCTGGGGTCTGAGGGCTCCCTGAGGGGGATGGGGAAGCATGGCTCCTTGATACCTGCCCCAAGGAGACTGTAAACACCTTGAGCATAGTTCCTCCTTCCCTATCATGTCCCCTAGGGAATTTTTGAGCCAAGGGGTGACAACTGCTAGCCCTGGCCCCATCCAGCATCAGTGACATTCCCCATTCCCTACAGCTATGAGTGAAGTCACCTCCCTCCATGAAGACGACTGGAGATCCCGGCCTTCCCGGGGTCCTGCCCTCACCCCAATCCGGGATGAGGAGTGGGGTCGCCACTCCCCCCGGAGTCCCAGGAGATGGGAGCAGGAGCCCCCCACAGAGCGGCCAGGGGGTGGCTGGGGGGGCAGGCGGCCCCGGGCCCACTCTGTGGATGCTCTGGATGATCTAACCCGGCCGGGTTCTGCTGAGTCTGGGAGGAGGTCTCCCCCAAGTAGTGGGAGGAGAGGACGTGCCTACGCACCCCCACGAAGCCGTAGCCGTGATGACCTCTACGACCCAGATGACTCGAGGGACTTTCCACATTCGCGGGATCCTCACTACGATGACTTCAGGTCTAGGGACCGCCCTCAGGTGGACCCCAGATCCCGCCAGCACCGATCCCGAGACTCCCGGGATGAAGGCTCTAGGTCTGGGGACCCGCATTATGATGAGCGTCTACTAGAAGAAGCCTTAAGGAAAAAGGGGCCAGGGGAGAGGAGGAAACATTACAGGGAGGAAGAGGAAGAAGAGGAGGCCTACTACCCTCCACCGCCTCCCCCGTACTCGGAGACGGACTCCCAGGCCTCACGGGAGCGGAGGCTAAAGAAGGTGAGCGAATGGTCCTCCCCGAGGTTAGACCCTGCCCAGGCCCCTCTTCTCAGTCCCTGCCCAGTTTACACTCTTCTTTCTCCTTTGCAGAACTTGGCCCTGAGTCGGGAAAGTTTAGTCGTCTGACCTCATGTTTTGTATGTAGTTTTTGTACTTTTTTTTTTTTAATTTGAGGGAGTATTGATGAAGATCTTGTAAATCTAATAAAATGACAATCATAAAAGTGATGTCTCGAGAAGCATTTGTTCTGCTGCACGAGGTGGGGGACCTGGGCAGCTGCTCTGTGTCTGAAAATGCCATGTCCCATTTCTCCGGGAGCTGGAGTCCTGGGTCAGAAGGAAGGGACCCAAGTCAGCCTTCTGCCTTCTACCTCTGCCCTGGCCAGGAGTACGTGCCCCACGCCGCCTCCGCCCGGCCTCTGCGTGCGCGCCGCGGCCCCGCCCAGACGTGCGCATGCGCCTCGCGCCTCCGCCTTCTCGCCCAGAAGCCGGGAGCGCGCGCGCGCGCCCCTCTCCCCTTCCACCCTGTTAGCCGCCCCCCCCACCCCCCGACCTACTTTGCTGTCTTCAAACCCCGGCAGCTTCCCTGGCCCCCAGGCGACCAGAGTCCCACCTCCGGGTCCCCCGGCGTTCCATCTGGGCCCGCGTTCCATCCAGCGGCGGGCCCCGGGCGGCCGCCGAAGGCTGTGGCGACGACCTCGCGCCCCGCCGAGACCCGGGCCCGCGCGCGCCCGCCTGCCATCGGAGACAGACAGCGCGCGCGCTCCCCGGGGGCTGCCCTCCCCCCGCGCGCGTCAAGCCCCGGGCTCGCGCCGCCGCCGCCGCCGCCGCCGCCGCCGCCGCGCGCGCGCAGCTCAAGTAAAGGAGGAAAAAAAAGGGGGAAAAAATAGAAAGCGGCGGTGGCTGCAGCAGCGATCCGCTGCCGAACGGGTCCAGGCCGGGAGGCGGGCGCGCGAACCGGCGATCTAGGGGAGAGGCGGCGGCCATCCAGAGCGGGCCTTGTTAAAATAAGTCGCGGCGGCGGCGGCGGCTGCTCAGGGAAGGAGGCCCGAGGGCCGCGTGCAGCGGGCGGGGGGCGGCTGCACTGAGTCTCGGAGCCTCGGGCAGCCCGGAGTCGGCGGGCGGGCGGAGGCGGCGGCGGCAGGAGGAGGCGGCGGCTGCAGGAGCGACGACGGCGGCGGCGGCGGCGGCATCTCCTCCTCACATGACCCCACTGTTTGTCCCCGTGATCAGCGCGAGCGGCTCCCGTGTCTCCTCCGTCCCCTCCTGCCGCGCGGCGTGAGCGCCGGGCTCGGGGCCCCCCCGGCCGCCCGCCCCCCCCCCCCCCCCCCCCCCCCCCCCCCCCCCCCCCCCCCCGCCCCCCGCCCCCCCCCCGCCCCCACCCCCCCCATGGACATGCTGGACCCGGGTCTGGATCCCGCTGCCTCGGCCACCGCTGCTGCCGCTGCCAGGTAAGAGCGCCCGGCAGACCGGTGCCCTCGCGCACCCGGGTCCCGGCCCTTCGGCCTGCCGGCCGGGCCGCCATGATCCGGAGCGGCCGCCGGGCCCGGCTCAAAATGGAGGCCGCGAGGGAGGGGGCGCCCGGTGCCTAGCGCCCCCGGCCCCCCACCCTGGCGGCGTCCGGCCCCATGCGGTGCCGGGCGGCGTGGGGCCCTGCCCCTGGGCGAAGGGGCGCGGGCACCCCTGACCCTGACCCCTCTTCCTCCTGTCCCTGCCGCAGCCACGACAAGGGACCCGAGGCCGAGGAGGGCGTCGAGCTGCAAGAAGGTGAGTGCTTGCGGGTCCACTGGGGCTGCGGCCCACGCCCGGAGAGGGGCTGGGGGCGCTCTGACCCCAGGCGACCGCTGATCATTGCCCTCTACACTCTGACCGCAGGCGGGGACGGTCCTGGGGCGGAGGAGCAAACGGCGGTGGCCATCGCCAGCGTCCAGCAGGCGGCGTTCGGTGACCACAACATCCAGTACCAGTTCCGCACAGAGAATAATGGAGGACAGGTGAGGCAGCGGGCCGGGAGCCCGGCGGGCCAGTGGTGGGCTGAGCAGAGGGCGGGCGCGCGGGCGGGCTGAGAGGCTCTGACCTGGCCCCAGCCCCGGCCCCAGCGCCGGTCTCGTCGCTCTGCCGCCCCCTGCAGGTGACATACCGCGTAGTCCAGGTGACTGATGGTCAGCTGGATGGCCAGGGAGACACAGCTGGCGCCGTCAGCGTCGTGTCCACGGCTGCCTTTGCGGGGGGGCAGCAGGCTGTGACCCAGGTGGGCGTGGACGGGGCAGCCCAGCGCCCTGGCCCCGCCGCTGCCTCTGTGCCCCCAGGTCCCGCAGCACCCTTCCCACTGGTAGGTGCCCAACAACTTCTGGGAATATGGAGAGGGATGCTAACTATCCTGGAAGCTCCAGGGGGTGGGGCAGGTGAGGTGGCACACATGCCACCTTTAGGCTGTCGGATGATGTGGGGTCAGGTGCCTTTTGGGCAGAGGGAATCCTTAAATCTCTTGGAGTTTTGTCTGTTTTTCCTGTAAAATGGGGATGATGTCTGTAAGTGAAAATCCTCTTGGAGTAAAAAATGAACAGTTCAGCAAGTGAAGGCTGAGTCAAGCTGCTTGGCTGTCACACTGTCACAGACACAGGACAAAATAGTGCGCTCAGAGGGCTTCCTCGTCCCCACAGAAAATGCACCAAAAATCAAGTACAGCAACAAGGGGGACAGAGATAGCTAAGGGTGGCCTCTGTGTCCTCCTACTCCCCAGGCTGTAATCCAGAATCCCTTCAGCAATGGTGGCAGCCCAGCAGCGGAGGCTGTCAGTGGAGAGGCCCGGTTTGCCTATTTCCCCGCATCCAGTGTGGGAGATACCACTGCTGTGTCTGTGCAAACCACCGACCAGAGCTTGCAGGCCGGAGGTAAGGAGAGGAAGTGGCGAGGGTGGAAGGCAGGGGAAGCAACAGGCCTATCAGGGAGGGAAGTCCCCAACCAGTTCCAACTCTGCCCCATCTTGGCGCTAACCCCTGCTTCCCCTGCAGGCCAGTTCTATGTCATGATGACACCCCAGGATGTGCTGCAGACAGGAACACAGAGGACGATCGCACCCCGGACACACCCCTATTCCCCGTAGGTGCAGGAGTCTCAGTCCCAGGGATGCTGGGAGGTCTGGTATTGAGACCAGAAGAAGGGAGGGTTTTCTGGTCTCTGAGCTGGGCAGGTCAGCACACAGCAGGCACCAGGTGCATTTTTAGTCTGTTTCTACGTCTGAAGGGCAAGTAGAGAAAAACCATGCTCTTGCTTTCTGCACATGAGTTTACCATACAAAGATAATTGCAGAGTCTAACTTTTCAAATAAATGCTTAGGTAAATGAGCCTGAGATAATAGGTGCCCATTTTTTTTCTCTTCTAGAAAAATTGACGGAACCAGAACACCACGGGATGAGAGAAGAAGAGCTCAGCACAACGAAGGTAAGGACAGATGAGACTCCTGGGTTGGCCCAGGCTGCAGCCTCCCAGGCACAGCCAGTCCTGGGTTTGGCATTACAGACACGGAGGCAGCTGAAGCCCGTCGCCAGACTCGTTCCTAGTGTTTACAGGTGCTTGTTGAATGCTGGAACAATCAAAATGGAGGGGCAAGAGAGGAGAGCATGGGCTCAAGAACAGAGAGGCAATTGGTATTGGCCAGCTGTTGATGTGGTACCCGGCTCCTGGTTTTGCATTGGTGGTCAGCATGTAAAATGGCAGATTTTACATTCACATAGAGATTTCTTGAGAAATTGTGTTGATCTGGCTGCCCTGAACCAACCTGGCATCTGTTGTGTCCTTGCATGACATTTCCATGCCCATCTGCCCTCCAGCAGTAGCTCTGGTCCCCTGGGCGCACACTCTACACCTGAGCTGTAGGAGGCTGTGCCTCTGGCTGGGTGAGCCCAGACCCTCCTGCCCTTCCTAGAAACAGCACATCCCATCCTGAACTCTTGTCCCTTGGTGCTGTTCTTGGGTCTTCCTGCCTTAATCGTCGTCACTGAAGATACGGCAGCCTATAGGTGCCAAGGGAGCACTGATACCAAACAGACATCACTGGATAAATATTTACTGACCCTGCATCCCTGGCGTGGCAGCACAGGCCCTGTGCCAGGTCTAGAGCCTGGCCTGAACATGGAGGCTCAGAAGAGGGAGGACCTATGGCTGAGACTTTGAAGTGCAGTGATGTGAGGAAACCAGGAAGACTTTGTGAGCAGACTGCGGGGGTCATATTGCTTCAGGGGTGCTGGTTCAGTTGTAGTAGAGGTTCCATGTGGTGGCCTGGGGAGCAGGGCCTCGAGGGTTGAGGAAGGCCTTGGGTGCTGGGCAAGGCTGTGGGTCCTGAACCGTTTGCTGTGGGGTGGGGTTGCTCCCTGCGCGTTTCTGTTCTGAGCCGCTGGCTGAGTTCAGGCACTGGGCCGACAGGTGCGTACTCTGGCAGCCCAGAGTTCAGGCCCACAGGTGCAGCGGATGATAGAGTAGATGAGGTCTCGACTCACAGTGTGTACTCTGACGGCAGAAACGAGTCACACGAAGCTGCAATGTGGCTTTAGGTGGCATGGTGGACACTTGCAGAAGATAAAGCTGGGTGAGGAGGGTGAGAGGAATGGTGGCTGTGTGCTCTGATGGCCTCTCGAGGGGTAACATTTGTGCAGAGGCATGAATGGACCTTAGGGAATGAGACACTTGGGGATCTGGGAGGAGTCCCAGATAGCAGGGAGCATGGAAAAGGCTCAGGCCCTGCACTGCTGCCCAGCTTGTGTGTAAGAAGAGAACTCATGGAAGGAAGGAGGAAGGGGGCGCTGTTGGCGCCAGATTCCTCTGGGCCTTATGAGAGGCTTCCCGGGTAGCTGTCCCTGCCCCTGAGTGGGGTTCTGGTGTGATGGGAAGCCAGTAGAAAGTTCCCGAGTGGGGACTGATGGTAAGAGTGGCAGGAAACCAGAAGTTTTGAAAATAGGAGGTGACCACGGGTGTCCACCTGAGACAGCCAGGTGTGAAAGAGGCCAGGTGTGGAGAGAAGACTCCCATTGCTGAAGAGTCAGGGCCTTGGCTGAGATCAGGTTGCTTTAAAGGGACGGGGTGAGTTGGAGCTTGGTTTGGGTTGATTTGAGGGGCTGAGGTTTGAGGGCCCTGCAGTGGGCTACCAGAGCAGCCATGGTTCCAGCCTCCTGGCCTCAGACTATCGTGTGTTGTCCTTTGGATAATGGCACTAACACGCTCACTCCAGG